CTCATCTGTCGTGCAATGACTTCCTTTCCGCTCCCGGATGACCCCCCTTTTCCGCCCCCCGATGACCCCCTTTCCGCAAGCGGATGACCCTCCCGTCCGCCTCTGAGGCGCTCTTCGTGGCCAAGGCTGGCGTCGTCTCGAAATTCTTGTCCAAACGCACCTCTGTGCATCGCATTCTTTGTTTTTTATCTTGGGTTGTCTGGGAAGCCTTTTGGGCGTCTCGGGAGCGTTGGGGGGGGGTCTTGCGAGTTACATGTGGCTTCCTGTTGGGCCTTCGGGCCCAGGGCTGGAAATGTTCGTTCGGCCCCCGCCTGGCTAGGCTCTTGGGGGCCTCTTTCCGGCCTCCTGGATGCTGCTTGAGGCCGCTTGGGGGCCTCTTGGGGGCCTTTTGGACTCTCTTGAAGGCCTCTTGGGGCCTCCCCGGAGCATCCTGGACTGCTTCTTGGAGTCGTCATGTGACCTTCTTGGCATGTTTCGGGGGCCTCTTAGACAGAGTTTTGAAGCCTTTTGGATGCCGTCTTGGGGCCTCTTGGATGGAGCCTCTTTTGGGCTTCTTGGGGGCCTCGTGGGGCCTCCTGGGGGCCTCTTGGGGCCTCTTGGGGGCTTCCTGGGGGCCTCTTGGGGCGGAGAGCTTGATTTTTCAGTTCGCGTTCCCACTCTTGGGCCCCTCTTGGGGCCTTCTTGGGACCCTCTTGCGCCGTTTTGGGCGGCTCTGGGGCCGTCTCGGAGCTCTCTTGGGCCGTCTTGGGGCCCTCTGGGGGGCCTCTTGAGCCGTCTTGGAGCGGTTTTGGGAGCCTCTTGGGCTGTGCTTTAGCGCCGGATCACGAAACAGCGAGAATGCAAAATTATCCTGGCGAAAGACCCAACCATAAGCAATTGTTGGTAACGCGTTGTGGGTGCCGCTTTCGGTGGGGCTCCATATGGGGCCACGAAGCGCTGCCTTGGATGGGGGAAACGCATGCGGACTGCGCCACCGGGGCGGGCCTTCGGTGGAGCTCCCTATGGGGCTACGAAACGCTGCCCTGGGTGGGGGAACCGCATGCGAACTGCGCCACTGGGGCCTTCGGTGGAGCTCCCTATGGTGCCACGAAACGCTGCCCTGGGTGGGGGAAGCGCATGCGAACTGCGCCACGGGGCTTTCGGTGGAGCTCCCCATGGGGCCACGAAGCGCTGCCCTGGGTGGGGGAACCGCATGCGAGAGCAGCCACTGGGGCCTCGGTGGAGCTCCCTATGGGGCCACGAAACGCTGCCCTGGGTGGGGGAACCGCATGCGAACACCCCCACTGGGGCCTTCGGTGGAGCTCCCTATGGGGCCACGAAACGCTGCCCTGGGTGGGGTGCAACCGCATGCGAACACCCCCACTGGGGCCTTCGGTGGAGCTCCCTATGGGGCTACGAAACGCTGCCCTGGGTGGGGGAACCGCATGCGAACACCCCCACTGGGGCCTTCGGTGGAGCTCCCTATGGGGCCACGAAACGCTGCCCTGGGTGGGGGAACCGCATGCGAACACCCCCACTGGGGCCTTCGGTGGAGCTCCCTATGGGGCTACGAAACGCTGCCCTGGGTGGGGGAACCGCATGCGAACACCCCCACTGGGGCCTTCGGTGGAGCTCCCTATGGGGCCACGAAACGCTGCCCTGGGTGGGGGAACCGCATGCGAACACCCCCACTGGGGCCTTCGGTGGAGCTCCCTATGGGGCTACGAAACGCTGCCCTGGGTGGGGGAACCGCATGCGAACACCCCCACTGGGGCCTTCGGTGGAGCTCCCTATGGGGCCACGAAACGCTGCCCTGGGTGGGGGAACCGCATGCGAACACCCCCACTGGGGCCTTCGGTGGAGCTCCCTATGGGGCTACGAAACGCTGCCCTGGGTGGGGGAACCGCATGCGAACACCCCCACTGGGGCCTTCGGTGGAGCTCCCTATGGGGCCACGAAACGCTGCCCTGGGTGGGGGAACCGCATGCGAACACCCCCACTGGGGCCTTCGGTGGAGCTCCCTATGGGGCTACGAAACGCTGCCCTGGGTGGGGGAACCGCATGCGAACACCCCCACTGGGGCCTTCGGTGGAGCTCCCTATGGGGCTACGAAACGCTGCCCTGGGTGGGGGAACCGCATGCGAACACCCCCACTGGGGCCTTCGGTGGAGCTCCCTATGGGGCCACGAAACGCTGCCCTGGGTGGGGGAACCGCATGCGAACACCCCCACTGGGGCCTTCGGTGGAGCTCCCTATGGGGCTACGAAACGCTGCCCTGGGTGGGGGAACCGCATGCGAACACCCCCACTGGGGCCTTCGGTGGAGCTCCCTATGGGGCCACGAAACGCTGCCCTGGGTGGGGGAACCGCATGCGAACACCCCCACTGGGGCCTTCGGTGGAGCTCCCTATGGGGCTACCGCATGCGAACACCCCCACTGGGGCCTTCGGTGGAGCTCCTGCCCTGGGTGGGGGAACCGCATGCGAACACCCCCACTGGGGCCTTCGGTGGAGCTCCCTATGGGGCCACGAAACGCTGCCCTGGGTGGGGGAACCGCATGCGAACACCCCCACTGGGGCCTTCGGTGGAGCTCCCTATGGGGCTACGAAACGCTGCCCTGGGTGGGGGAACCGCATGCGAACACCCCCACTGGGGCCTTCGGTGGAGCTCCCTATGGGGCCACGAAACGCTGCCCTGGGTGGGGGAACCGCATGCGAACACCCCCATTGGGGCCTTCGGTGGAGCTCCCTATGGGGCCACGAAACGCTGCCCTGGGTGGGGGAACCGCATGCGAACACCTGGAGGGCGGGGGGCGAGGAGGAGGAGAAACGCGGGGACCGTCTCTTCAAAACGAGGACCCAACAACACAGGTTGGTTGGGAAAAACAACTGAAAAAACAATCGTCGTCGTCGTCGTCGTCGTCGTCGTGGTCGTCGTCGTCGTCGTCGTCGTCGTCGTCGTCGGCGTAGTCGTCGTAGTCGTCGTCGTCGTAGTAGTAGTAGTAGTAGCCGTAGTAGTAGTAGAAGTAGTAGTAGTAGTAGTAGTAGTAGTCGTCGTAGTCGTAGTAGTAGTAGTAGTAGTAGTAGTAGTAGTAGTAGTAGTAGTAGTAGTAGTAGTAGTAGTAGTAGTAGTAGTAGTAGTAGTAGTAATAGCAGTACAAGTAGAAGTAGAAGTAGTAGTTGTTGTAGTAGTCGTAGTAGTAGTAGTAGTAGTAGTAGTAGTAGTAGTAGTAGTAGTAATAGTAGTCGTAGTAGTAGTAGTAGTAGTAGCACAGTTAGTAGTGGTAGTTAGTAGTAGTAGCTGTAATAGTAGTAGTAGGTAGTAGTAGTAGTAGTAGTAGTAGTAGTAGTAGTAGTAGTAGTAGTAGTCGTAGTAGTAGTAGGTAGTAGTAGTAGTAGTAGTAGTAGTAGTAGTAGTAGTAGTAGTAGTAGTAGTAGTAGTAGTAGTAGTAGTAGTAGTAGTCGTAATAGTAGTAGTAGGTAGTAGTACGTAGTAGTAGTTAGTAGTAGTAGAGTAGTAGTAGTCGTAGTCGTAGTAGTAGGGCAGTCGGTAGTGAGTAGTTGTGGGTTAGTATAGTAGAATATAAAAAATACTAGTAGTAGTAGTAGTAGTAGTAGTAGTCGTAGTAGTAGTAGTAGTAGAGTAGTAGTAGTCGTAGTAGTAGTAGTAGTAGTATTTGTTGTTGTTGTAGTAGTTGCAGTAGCCGTAGCCGTAGTAGTAGGTAGTAGTAGTAGTAGTAGTAGTAGTAGTAGTAGTAGTAGTAGTAGTAGTCGTAGTAGTAGTAGTAGTAGTAGTAGTCGTCGTAGTAGTGGTAGTAGTAGTCGTAGTAGTACTAGTAGCAGTAGTAGTCGTAGTAGTAGTAGTGGTAGTAGTAGTCGTAGTAGTAGTAGTAGTAGTAGTAGTAGTAGTCGTCGTCGTAATCTTATCAGTAGTAGTAGTAGTAATAGTAGTAGTAGTAGTAGTAGTAGTAGTAGTAGTAGTAGTAGTAGTAGTAGTGGCAGTGGCAGTGGCAGTGGCAGTGGCAGTGGCAGTGGTAGTGGTAGTGGTAGTGGTAGTGGTAGTGGTAGCGGTAGTGGTAGTGGTAGTAGTAGTAGTAGTAGTAGTAGTAGTAGTAGTAGTAGTAGTAGTAGTAGTAGGAGTAGGAGTAGTAGTAGTAGTAGTAGTAGTAGTAGTAGTAGTAGTAGTAGTAGTAGTAGTAGTAGTCGTAGTAATAGTAGTAGAAATTGTGGTAGTAGTAGTAGTAATAGTAGTAGTAGTAGTAGTAGTAGTAGTAGTAGTAGTAGTAGTACTAGTAGTAGCA